CTGGTCGCTTCTTTATTCACCCAATCCTCGCAGATACTGCGTCAAGCCGGTTCGAGCCCTGGGCTGGCTCGACCCGGAGTTCTTCGGAACCCTGGGAGTTGGTGGCGGCTTCGCAGTAGCTGCTGGTGTACTAGCAGGTAAGTGTCGATGCTAGCTGCTCTTACTGCCAGCCTATCAGGAGAGTCTGCAGTAGAGCCTGTATGGATCCTCTGGGGTGACGGCAGCGTGGCTTGGTCTCTGGCCGAGTTCGAGACGATGAAACGACATAAGATACCCTGCGTAGCTATCGTTGGGAATGATGGCAAGTGGAACCAAATGTGAGGGCGCTTTTCTCTTTCTCTATGAAGCAACACTGAGGGCAGGTATCGAGACCAAGTGCGGCTGTTGAAAGATCCTATCGCAACAGTGCTAGGTGGGCTACTGTACCCAAGCTGCAGGACGCTGGCTCGTCCTCAGGCGCCCACGTTGACTACCACGTAGCAGCCGAAGGTTACGGTGGCAATGTAGGTTTTCTTCTCGAGAAGGAATCCGATATAGAAGATGTTCTGAGTATGGCCCGTACGGTGAGCGTGATGGAAGCCTCTCACTTCAGTTGGCGAGCATGGATGTGTTCAGGCCGCATTGCAGTGTCGTGGCCCAGTACTTATTAATGCTATGTTGTCCAGCAGTGATTTTAGAGAGGGCAGCATCTCTTTATAGCCCATGTTCATTTCGGAATCGTTTTTGATCTCTGGTGTGGAGTTAGTGAACGAGTGTATTCCCAACCCCTTCAACGAGCGCATATACTCGCGGGCAAGATTTGTGCGAAGCTCTGGGCTTGCGGCTGATCTCGTCTAGCACCATCTGAAGCTAAGATTAAATGCAAGTGATTTCATGAACAACACTAATCGGAAATCATTCTGAGTGTAATTGAGTTGACACAAGCCCAACGGGCTCAGATGGCCACAGAGGAAATTAGCCGTGTAGTTCCACCCATTGCCTCACTAGTAAGGTAAGCATCTTGCTGATATGGAAGATGTGTTTCACTATTCAGTCACGAAGCTGTGAGGTAGCAGAATAAAGCTACCAACATGTAGTTACACGACGGGCACTATTACGCCTGCTTAAAA